CGGGCAGCGCCTGTGGCGAGTGAGGGCTAGGACCGCGTCGGCTCCAAGTTTACCTGAAAAAAACACCGTTGTTGCTACAAGCAGGGCATATTCGGTCTCGGTCACTTTCAGTTCTCCCATGCTTCTGTAGAAGTAAAACAGTGCGGTAATAAACTCCTCGGTTATACCTTAAAAATTAAAGGAAACAAAACGTTATTTCAGTGCAGAAACAGGCATTGCTATTACAAATCATCTTTGTTGTACTCTCTTAAGGCTCCCATTGCATGGAGTAGTTGCCCAATTTCGCAAAAACAATGTTAATTTCTAAAGCGGTTACAAAACTTGTATTGCAGTTGTACTGTAGAGCTTCTCACAGATACACCCCAAGTTTTTATCCTAGGATATATGCAAACATGAGCACCGTCTCTTCCATGAGGATGTAATGCCTGCACATCTAGCAAAGCAGCTCGAGGCAGGGAGGAGTGTAGAAGAGACTTGAGCAGTGGCCCCACCGACAGCATTGCTCAGTGTGAAAAAGCACAGGGCAAGCAAATCAAATGATACCCAAATATTTTGATTCTGAGACCTTCGTTACCTGTGGTAGTAGTGGAAGTTGGACTCTCTTCATTGTGAGACATTTCCATGGAATAAATGCTGGTTTTATTGAGGTTTTGAACGTGACAACATGTCCCATGATGAGAAAGTCTTATATGACCTGTAACAAGATAGATGACAGTTCTCAGCCAAGCTTAATTGTGACTTTAAGTATTTGTCTGCATCTGCTTTGCAGATGCATACACCTGGAAATGTGTCTATTTTTCCTAGATCCATGAAGGTAGAAAAAAAATGTTCTTTTTGGCATCCAGCACACCAGCTTCATTGGTCACATTATCGTTGGTCAAAATGTCTTGTGTTAAACTTGATACAATATATAATATGTCATTAATATAGCAAATATTATCCCTCCACTCAACAATTTGTGCAAACGCTCAAAATTATTGGTCTTTGTTTGGAACTAATGGGAGGAAAACAGAGATCAAATTTTTCTTTCATGCTCCTTGGGGGGGGGAAAGCCTATAGAAGGTACGTAGGCATTACCAGTACTAATCTAAGTACCACTATGCTTGAACAGGAAATTATCTGAGATTAAGTCAATGAAAATGAACAAAAGTTGTTTCAAAACAATAGAACCTTCTACTGGTGTTAATAGAAAGCCTGATAGTCAAACTTACTTTCACTTGTTGATGGTTGGCATTCACTAATTCTTTGGTTATATATTTGGGCTGAACGCAAAAACATTGCCTCAATTGTTGACCCTTTTAGCAGCGCGATCTGATCTTCACTAGCTAGACTTTCAAATCCTGTAGAGAAAAATACATTTGAAGAATCAAGGAAGGCTGTGGCTGCCTTTAGGCCCCTAACATGAGTTGATAAAAGGATTTTTTAAAGAAATGCCTTTGCTGGAAAGGAGGACCTGCAGATAAAAGATGAATGTACCAAGGACTATTGGGATTTTTCCTGCTACTTTGGAGGTTAGAAAAAAAAAAATAAAGGTGCAGTTGTTAGTGTCCAGTGTTAGAAGATTCACAGGAAGATACAAGTAAAAATTTTAAGACTATACAGGACTTAATGACAAAATTCTTCCTACTATTGAAATAACATGACCTAGTATCTTATAAATTTGCTACACTGTTTAATGACTGTGGATATTCTCCTTATTCATTGAAATCTGATCTTTTTTAAAATTGTCTTCCTCTTTTAACAACGATTATCTGCACTTATAATTTAAGAGCAGAGGAACTTTATTGATTCTTTTTTAACCCTGATCAAAGCAGATTATGTAACATAAGAAAACAAACAGCTCCTCTGTTCTTTCACATGTTTCATAGTAGTGCTAAATTACATCATATACCTGCTTTAGACATGTTGGTTGACTTCTGTCAATAAATTTTACAGCTTAAAAGAGTAATGAAAAAATTATCACCCTCCCTGTCAAATGTTATTTTGTTGACCTCACATTGAAATGCAGTGAATTTAATGGCGTGTTCCCTTGTTCTTTATTACAGGAAAATACAAATAAGAGCACTTGGTTAGCCTTCTGTGCTTCCTTTTCCTTTGAAGGAATATCAGGTTTTTTTACTTTGATGATTATGATAAATAGCGAACTGAACTGGATTTCAGAGAATGTAGTGAAAGAGTAATTCACTCAAGATGGTACTTCCAGAAGATACATACTTCCAGAAGATGCTTCTACTCTATGTCAGTGTTGGAAAAGAAATCTAATCATAGCAAGCTTTTGAAGTGAATGTTTCTAACTTGTCTTCATGACAAGTACATGGTAATTCTGGTTGTTACAGTTGGAAGAAAAAATAGTTACTTGAATGTGAGTTTTCTTAAAGCCTGTATTTTTCTCAGGTTCATGCTATCAGTATGGGGTCTCCCCCTTTAAAAAAAAAAAAAAAAAAACAAAAAAAAAATAGTCACACTATTCTGTAATATTTCTCAAAGGAAGAAACTTACCTGGAAGTCTTTTTGTGAAATCCACTAATACTTGTACATGGACAACTGCTGTCTCAGAGAGACGGAGAAAACTTTCCTCAGGACTTGCAGTTTCTTGTAGCTGTATGAAAGAGTGTTCAAATATCTGATATAATAAAGGTATAGTGCTTAGGATAATATTAACTCAGCAACACAGGCTGATTATTCTGTATACATACAAACTTCTTTGCTTCCTCAGGGGGAATTGTGTATTTTTGGTGTGCTGCTACAATGTGGTCAAGAAGTTGATGTTCCACTGGAGTAAGTTCCATCTTCTCAGGGATCTGGTAAAAAAGAAACGAATCAAGTGATGACTGGGGCAAAAATAAATCATAAAAAACATAAATATTTTAAATAGAAGAATATCCCACTTTTCCAGATCTTGTTGTAGATGATACATGCTTACTATTCAGTCCCTCATCTTCCAGTTTTATGTTGCAAATAAAACTGCTTTTCCGTTTGAAATTCTTCCTGAGTCGCTTTGACTTGCACTGTACTTCAGTCAGCAAACCTGCAAGGCACAGGAGTGTGTATCAATGTTTATATTTTTGAATAATTAAAAACCTAAATAATCACTTTTGTTATTGTAGATAACAAAAGTCTGGCATTGCAGAAGCCATCACCTATAGGGAACTATGCTTCCTAGAGAATGTGGCAGTGTTGTTCATCAGGCAAGCTAGTGTTCAGTACCCACCAAAGGCCTGACTGTTTGCAAGCTTCATAGGTTATTGTGCTTGTGGCTCTGTGACATACAAGCATGAAATTTTTTCAAAAATAACTATTGGTTGATTGTTTTTTTTTTTCCAAACAAAAGCACATCTGATATGCTTACTGCTGTCCTGTCAAGGTTCAGGGTATTTAGTTCTGTCTTGTTGCTACTTTCTTTTTTTCTTGCAATGTCTTTGAACAGCAGTCCTTTAAGTCCTTTCCCAAGGATTTGTGGTTTCTGCAGATGAAAATGCTACAAGTGCTACAGACTTATCTGTGTTTAACCCATATCCTAGGCTAAACTATAGCAGTTCTTCTATCACCCACTGACCCAGCCCCAGCCAGGAAAGCAAATCAGGAAAAGCAAAGGAGACCCATGGGCTGAAATAAAAACAGATTTAATGAAAGTGCAAAACTAATGTTAATGCCAATATGGAATACACAAAGTTATACTCAGCCTAGTGAATGTACAGCAGTCACAATAAACAGGAAAGCAGTCATTGGGAGCAGAACAGTAAGCAAGCCCCTCCAGTGATAGCAAACTTCCACCTTTATACTGAGTGGGATGTTTATGGGATGGGATATACCTGAAAGCCAGCTCAGGACAGCTGCCCCAGTTGACTCCAAACTGCTAAGAGCCTGCAGAACATGGCTGGCCCAGGAATCTATCCCAGTGAAACCAGGACAGGACTCCAAAAGTTAAATTTCTCTACAGCTAAATGAAGTTTAGACCAATACCATTTGAGCTCTAAGGAGCAGAAGGGATTGACATTCGAAGAAATTTTATAGAGAGTTGATTAGTAAAGTCGACAGCATGAAGGGAGCACTTACATTCTGCTAGCATTCCCACAGCTTTACACTTCTTCAAGCGACATTCCTGACACTTTCTTCGCATGTACATGTCCATTTCACAATGACCACCATTTTTGCATCGATACACTGCATTTTTGGTTATGCTACGTCGAAAGAAGCCTGCAGACAAGGTTCAGGTCGTGATTGAAGTAATCTACAGAGCTTTATCTCATAATGATTTAAAGAATTAAAGTGTCTTTTGTTTTTTGTTTCTTTATTTGTTTGATTTTGATTTTGTTTTTTACAGTTGGAACATTACCTTGATTCTAAATTTGCTTTTTAACAACATAGTTATGTCTTCTTCTTTAAGACTAATATTAATCACTGTTTTCCTTACCAGATCAAAACAGCTCTCATATAGCAAGTTAAAACATAAGTAGCAAGTAATTATTATTTGTGGTTTTTTTTCATCTTAATAAGTAAAATTAATAACACTGAAGTAGAACTATAATAAGTGGTCATGAGAAAATCAGCACGAGCTTAAACACTCTCCTAGTGAATAATCAATGGAAAAATGAAATGCATGAAATTATTGTATTAAGTGCACACTGTGAAAGCATTTATTCAAAGAATATTGTAAAAATGTGAATCTGGAGTAAGCATGTTAGACAAAGGATACCTTAGATAAATTAAAGTCCTCAGTAGAAACGCTAACTTTAATGAAATCTGTTTGTTTGAGCCATGGATGTGGAACGTTATGTTAAGCACTGTGGTGCCAGGGTCCTGGGTAAGATAGAGATCAGCCTGTTCTCTTCTTACCTTTACAGCCTTCACAGGTAAGTGCATTGTAGTGATAGCCAGAGGCCTTGTCACCACAGACAACACACAACTCCTCTTGTCCCTTCAGTCTCAAAGAAGTGTGGTTTAATCTTGGCCGTTTTAATCCTTGGAATCCACTGTCATCAATGTGGGGAGCCATGAAGGGAGGTTTGCTTAACTCACAGCTGCTGATGATGCACTGCCCATCACCGTACTGAGAGTCCAGGCCGTATGTGCTATATTGGGACTGAGACGGTTGTGACTGTAATACTGGTGGAGGAATTTGAACTGTGGAGTATTGGCAGTAAGGTGCAGTCTGAAAATCCGTGTCTTGCAGCTGGTAGTTGATATGCTCTGGTAAAACATCTACGTACATTGAAAATGACATAAAACCCAGTTATATACAATTGAAAGTTAAATAAAAACTTAAAGAATATCTAAGTATCGGCTACTTGAAAGTTCTAAAATGTTTTAGAGATTACATATTTGATCATAAATATTAGAGGAACACATTTTCAGAAGGGTAGTCTGATAAATTATTTTTAAATGTGCTATTTGTGATGTTTTTAAGTAGAATCTTATATGTAGTAAAAATGGCATGGTAACAGTTTGAGCAATGTCATGTGCATGCCAGTGGATTCTTGTTAGTATGTAACTGAACTTGCCAACTGATGATATAGCTACTTTTAGGTTTTACACTTAAAGGTTGTTTTTGTTAATTGTTCACACTACAGAAGAATATTTCCCCATATGTAAGTGAATGTTTGTTATTTATACATATTTCAGGCATAATTCTGAAAATATTGCACAACAAGAGTCTGAGAAAGATGGTCCAAAAAATATAGATTGATAAAAAATTATTGTGACAGGAGTGTCACAGTTGAAATTCAGTAGAGAAAAAGCAGAGACTTGTTTTATTTAGTATTTTACCATATTTAATACTTTATCAAGCTTTATTTTAGCAAAATGTAGGTACAGAAATATGAAGAAAGCTTCTTTCTGCCTATCTGTAGAGTTTTATTTTTATCCAACCACCACTTAAACGTACACAGCTGTACTGAAGAAACCAACTTGCATTATGTTTCATTCTTGGGATTGTTCAAATCTCTGTAAAAACAAACTGGAAAGGTTTTGGTTTTTTAAGCAGTTTGGAGGTATGGGCTTTCGGTCTTGCTTTCATTCATTCAGAATCAAATCAGTTATTGCAATTATATAATATATAGAATAACCATTATTTATTTATAATGTACCTGGAATTCTGTAGTAACACCTGCATCTTCTTCATGCAGGTCAAAGGGAGACAATGCCAGTGATGTTTATACACAATGATCAGTCAGCATAATCACATTGTGTACAAAATCTGTATGAGCAAATGCTGATGCATTTCAATACACTTTCAATATGGGGCTTGATAGTCAAATGTGTGGCTTCTAAGAGCTTGTAAAGATAAACTAAAATGAGGAAAATAATGAGAACACCCACAGATGTTCTGTTTTGGTTTTTTTTTTTTTTCTATACTGCTTTTACATAATATAAACATTTTGCTTTACTCACCATAATACTGTATGGGGTCAGGAAGACAATACCCATCAGGTACAGTGAGAAATGTATTTGCCATATTCTGCTCCAAACTGCACTGTTTCATTCACTTTGCTGTGCGGTAGACTTTTAAGAAGGCAACCTAGAGAAATGAAGAAGTAACAGAAACATCATGTGAAGAATTGCTGCATAGGTTTAGCTACAGAGATAAAACTAGAAGTCTCCAGAATGTGGAACAGCTTGCAGATCATAAGAAAATATGTGCAAAGTCACATAATACTTTTAACAAGGTTGCCAAATTTCTGGTTGTCCTAATAGTACAGATACAGGATAGAGTCCATTCCTAGAGTTCCAAGTTATATTTAGGACTGTTTTGCTCTGAATTTTACAGAAAACCATGTGGGGGAATCAGACAAATTGTTAGTAAAAACTCTAGTTCAGGAAGAGATATGGGCATTTGCACTAATGTGGATGTTCTGTTTCTGCATAAAAATGGGCTTTTAGTGAATTTGCTTCATTAATTTTTTTATGCAAACTTGAAGCAAATAAATATAGGAAAATAGCCAGGAAAGGCCAGCATAGAATATCTCTTCTTCCCCATGTAAATACTTTTCTATGCAGTGAAAGTCAGTTTTGCCTCACATAAGGACTGCCTGATTTACATTCCATTCCAAATTTAAGGGCCTGTATTCTTTTAAGAGTAAAAAGCATCCTGTGAAGACCAAAAAAGTTAATCTTGTATAGGATGGATTGCCCCCCAGAGAGCTTTTTTTTGTCCCTTGATTATTGAAGGAGCCTGGACTCCTGGCTGGATACTTTGACATTCACTATGAACAAGGATTACTGAGACCTCACAGTGAAACAGCTGGTGCAGAACAATTATTGTGCTTTGCATTCAAAACATCTTATTTTTCAGTAATTTGACTTTATGGAGAGGTTCTGGAAAAGTGTGCGCTAAAAATTCTTAAATGAGTTGTAGAAAAAAAAAGAAGCGGTATGGACACTAACATGATTTAACTTGGTTTGATTTTGCATAGGTGCATAGGCAGTCACCGGTATTGCCTAACAATTGAGTGGTAATGGAGTAGCCATTATGAGAAGTAAGCAGGAAATATTTTCCTTGCGTCCTTGTCTCTCTGCATGTGTGGAATATATGAGAATATCACTAGTAAAAAGTATATTGCAGCTGATTCCCACTGAGTAAGGACAAGACAATTTGCTAGTGAACTATTCACAGGCCTTCCCTGAGCAGATGAAAAGGACAGAAAAGATGAAAAAGGCAAATAAGTGTTTCAAAAGTATAGCAAATCAAACTCTTACATGTGCAACAGGTTTCTCTGTATATGCCTTTTGCAGAATTTACAGCAAATGTGGTTTGAAGATCGTCCTTGAAAGATGAAAGACTCACTTTTTGGGTCTTGTGCAATACCTATACCTAGCTACAGCTGAGAAATTGAATATACCATGTCAGGGAATCTGATCTGTAGTCATATCTTGAATGACACACATCCTTTCCGCAAAAACTAGACATATCTTAGAACTGAACACTTTCTCTTCATGTTTTTAGTAGAAGGTAAAAAGATGCAGTCAGGCTGGAATGCTGATGACTTTTTGTTTTGTTTTTGGTTTTTTTTTTTTTTTTTTGTTATCTCTACTAGTAAATATTTGTATGAGAGATAAATCTCTCATTGTATCATGAGGTCCTTATCAGTTAGATCAATTTGGCCTGGGTAAAGTCTACATTTTAACAAAAAAAATGTTTTATTTGCTGAATAAATGTTTCTGAATTCCAGTAATTTCTTTAAATAAAAATAATAAAATAATAGAAGCTAAAAGAAAATTATACTGATTTGGTCTGATAAAAATAGTATATTTCGTGTATGAAGTATGTATTACCAAGTGCAAGGTGGTCAGTTGTTTAAGCATTCTAAATCTTGGAAACACTTTCAGTAGACAAAGTTTCCTCAACTTAGGTATTATATGAGAATGGATTTGAGGATTTAGCCCTTCTTACTGATATAAAATAGCACTGGGTTTTTTAAAACAACAAATATAAAGAACAGAATAAGATATGTAAGGAAGGAACTTAATTTTGTAGGGCAGGAAAGTTTTGATTATTTATAAGATTGACTGTCATAGTTATGTCATAGGTAATGACTCACTGTTTTTTTATGAGTCAGTCAGGAGTAGGGAAGCCCCCTTCAAATTTTAGGAATTGCTGAAATTTCATGATGCATTATATCCTGGTTTCTCCAAAGCTCAGTAGCCACCCTTAATCTCTCACACCTCATAGGAGTGAACCATGACCTATAAGGACACTTCTTCAGCCCACACGTGCATTCAGTAACCATTTGCCCTGCAGGCAAGTAAATTCTGCATACACACAAAAATTAGCTACACACTGTGAAACTGTGGAATTTTTGACAGAATGTAGCATACATGCCTAATTGTAATTTTCAAAACATAGTAACTTAGACAAAGTTGAAATAAAATTTGAGTAAGATCTTTGGGTGTTAAGTGCAGTTATAGTCACACAATTTCCGAACCGAAATATTTTGTGCCCATTTTTCTCTTTTCTGTGTACTCAAAATAAAGCCATACATTTTGTGTATGTGTGCTTTAAAAATGAAGCAAAAAAAAAGGAAAAAAAAGAAATATATTCCCAGAGATTATACATGAAGTGTAAAAAGTGGAAATAACTGAAAACAAAAAAAGAGGATTTTTTTAATAACCTGTTTTGTAGAATCACAAGCAGTAACACTGTTAGGATCAAATGCTTTAGTCTTTAGTGAGACATACTGACCTGAGAGAAAATGTCATCTGCTTAAAGGTACATGCTGTTCCTGCTTTTCCTTCTTCTTAGTTACTTCTGAGGTGCTATTTCTGCTGGGTATTTTCATGTGTGAAATCCTGATCATTGAAGGGGGATGGTGGTATTTCTTTGTTTTAAAAACCTCTACAAGCAGGACTTTTTTTTTTTCCCCCCCCAGACTATGTGACCTAGACACTAGGTTGCTTAAGGGCATCTGAAGATGTTGCACTATTACAGGCTTAGTTTTTGAAGTAATCAGTCTTTGGAACTAAAAACATTCAATGTAAACTGGAATGTATGTTGATTCATGGGCTTAGTTATACATCTAATACAGAAACTCAGCAACATTCAGTTATTAGTCCTAACTGAAAGACTTTTCAATTTATCAAAGATGGAAGCCATCAAAGAAAACAAAAAAAAAAGTACCATTAAATTATAAAAGTAGAACTACAAACGAGTCACTTAACAGAATGTACATGTTCAGACTAGGATACATACTGTACATCTAGTTATTCATGGTGAAAGATGTTATTTTTATCATTTTCTTGCTATGAAATACCATATAATTAACTAACATACCTTCAGCTTCTTTTTCTAATTTTAAGATGCAAAACATAGTTCTTGTAGAAGAGGATCCAGAGAGCTCACTAAGAGGTATGTATTGACAGTACTTCAACTGCTATTGTAAATATTTTGACAGTTGAGTCATAGGAATTTTCTTGTTTACAGGAAATTTTAGGAACTCAGGCTGAAGGTCTTCAACATTTACACCTCGTAGCATGTTAATGATTATGTATTGGAACTAGATAGTGTATTTCAATCTCAATGCTAATCGCTGCATTTCTTCACTTCTGGGAAGTATAACTTAAATTTTGAATTTGTAAAGTTGAGACCAAAAAATAAAACCCCAAACCCAGAATTGGTGGCAGTTATATGCAATACAAGGTGATATATTCTCTTTCACTCAAGCAATTCAGCAATCACTGATTACTGTAATTAAAGAATGATTTTGCAGGGAAAGTTGTAGGATCACTTGATTGGTCCTATATGCAGCTTATATGCAATATTACAGTTTTATCTGTTTCTCCCAGTTTTAATGTGCCAAGAAACTCCCCAAAGCTGTGCTTTGAAGAAATTTCACTTTTCTTCTCATTAAACATTTTCCTTCTTTGTCATATAATAACCATAATAGGAATTGGCTTATTTCACTAATGGACTGTGTTGAAATTACCTTGAAATTCTCCTTTGGAATTGTTACTCTATTAATAATTATTTCAAAGGTATAATTTTATTCATTGTAAAGTAAGAGGCTGGAAGTTGTTTGAAACTTACAGTATTCCAGGTGCTTTGGGGAAAGGAAACAAAAAATTGAATTTAAAAGTAATTTTACTTCACTCTGTATGTCAAATAAAATGCTGTTGTAACAAATTCTTGGCAGTAGGATATCAGATTTAAAAGTTCATGTTTTCTATTTTCATTTACTCAGCTATATAAAAAACAGAAGGGGGAAAAAAAAAAAAAAAAAGAAGAAAAAAAACCCCCAGTGTCTTAAATGTTTTCACGTGGCAAATTAACGCATGGCTGTAGAAACAATGTGTAATCCCAGAGCATTCAGAGAAGTAAAAGAAATACTTACAGTAGTTTCAGAGAGTTTCTTGCTTCCAGAATAGAGTCTGCTGGTCTGTAGCACTGATCCTAGCTCTGAGTCCAGCTGGAGCAAACTGGGTTTTTTCCCTATTTATCAGTTTCTGTGGATACACAGGGCTCCAGACACTCCACAGAGCAATGCTATGGCTCTGAGACACAAACTTCCCACACAGCCCTTTCTGGGGTCGAAGCAAGGGCAGCTGCAAGCCCACATAAATCAAATAATAACTGGGTCATCAGGGACAGAGGCCATGGGGACCCTCACGTCACTGTTTCCCAGAGTTCTCCCTGTCTGATTACCAAATATTCTGCTTTCTTTCTAAAATTTAAAATTCTCCCATTTTGATTGCTTAACATTGACATGTCCGAGTGTTAATGAATAATGTTCATTTCCTGGGCAGAGAAAATATTGCAGCAGTACTATTTGGAGGTATCTACACGACATAGTAAGTGAATTTGGAAACACTCGATTAGGCCAGTATTTCCAAACACAAAACACTTAACTTGTTCTCCTTATTCTAATTCTGATATGTGTGCCCCCATAACGGACAACGATTGTTAGCAACTTTTGTTGCTGATAATTTTGCAAAATTTCATTTCTAAAGCCCAAGAATTTCCATTACTAATAATTTCTAATAAAATGCTCA